AAATAATTAACATTTTATGTCCATAATAATATTTAAACATAGTTTCGTGTTAATTTTGTGTTAATTTCGTGTTCCATACAAACGAGAAAATAGAGAAAGTGTTTATTTTTAAATAAACGAGTTGATGGTGTCAATTTTGAGTTTGACAAGTTGAACTGAATATGAGTATTTTATATTTCTTATTTGCGTGTCAGGTCATTTTCAAGTTCGTGTCGAATTATAATCAATTCAGTGTCATAAAATTCGTGTTGAGTTCGAGTCGTGTCATCGTATTGAGTCGAAAATTTTCACCCCTAATTGAGATGGAAAAAATATTTCTTTTACTTTGAATTTTTATTTGTATTTTTTTTTTAATTTTTTAAAATACATAAATACATATTTTATCATTATAATTTTATATTAAATTAACATATACATAATATATGTATATATTAAAAGATATATAAATAAATAAGATACATTTCAACATAAATAATTAATTTTCTATTCACTTTCCTTCCGATTTTGGAGGAATTGATTTTAGTAAGTTGAAAGGAAAGTTAATTTATCAACTTTTTCATCCATCTTATTTTTTTCCTTATCAAAAATAATTTTTTATTTATCCCTCTAATTTTTTATCTTTTCAACTTTTCATCCTTCCATTTTTTCATCATACCAAATGGAGCATTAATTTTCCAGGAAGCAACTAACTTTCTTTAGTCAATCAAAAAAGTTCAGCTCGAGCTATCTACTAACGAACTCTCTCTCCTCGTTCTGCTACGCTTGTTTACATGCTTGTTTATAAATTTACCCCCATAAACCATATGTTTAGATAAAGGATGTGTGCATTTGTTTTTCTAAGTAGATAGTAATCCTAATGCTAAAGTGATTATAATTTAAATAACAATTAGATGTTGGTGGGACTTCTTATTTGTTGGGAGTTTAGGAGCTTCTACGTCATTTGGGCTGCCAATTTGATCCAATACTAAAAATCGGCCGGATTAGAAGTTGGGGTCCCAATTGTTTCTAGAAACTATGTCTCAACTCAGCTCCTGGAGAATTCTGGGAGAGGTCTGGAGACACATCAAAGTATGTGCTACACTTCTAGAACAGCAATCTTCTGGAGAACTGTTTGAAATGTAAACATGCCACTTTTCAGCCACAAGAGAATAATATGGTAGGAACTTTTTAACGTTGACCTTTGAACTGGAATTCTCCATCTCCATCTCCACTAGGCCAAAAGGGTTTGAGACAAAGGGTTCTATTACTTCTAAGGACTACAGGAAATTTGGTTCCAAGTTTTTTTTTTTTTTTTAAGGTTTTTTTAACTTTAATAGTCAGGGGTGTTCGAACCAATTTATGCACACGTCGATTAATTTCTTCTCTAATCCGGTCAAAGACATATTATCCTTGTCGGAATTAGGGTATTCATAAGAGATAAATTTCTTATAGTCTGTTCTCAAGGGGTTGCCAAAATTTAAACATACGACGTCTGTTACCACTTAAACTATAAATGTTTACAGCTTGCCTTTTTTTTTTTTTTTTCTTTTTTGAAGTTGTACAAGGTAAAAACCACACTACTTTTAACTACTTTACCCTCGCAAAAAGAGGCTAGGGACTAGAAGGCCAATAAATTCAAATTCACACAATTTAATCCCAAATTTCTTCCTTGGTTTATGTTACATAGAATGAACATCCTATTGAGATTTCGGCACTAAATGTGAATGATAAGGTAGTTCCTATCACTAGAAGGAGGACATAAAAGCAAAGTATGACTTATTAAACCTCAAAATTTTATAAAAAAAAATAGATTTTATTTTCGGATCAACGATTACTGAATGGTTCTACTTGATTCTAATCATAATGGGTTTTGAGCTTAAATTTATGGTTACGATCACAAACAAAGAAGCCAACATAAAAATACGGAACAAGTCTAGAGTCACCATAACTTTTCAAAAGTAAATTTAAAAAGTAAAATTTATCCTATCGTACAACTTGCGACAAAATTCACCAATAAAAACTTTGGCACGAAGTAAAGAGTGTGAAGGAAGAAGTTTCTGCGCTAAGACTTGAGAGGCAAACCGAACCGCGTAGATTACTAGCAGTAAGTAACATGCTAGCACAACTCTCTCTCTCTCTCTCTCTGCTTTTATGAGAAACACATCTTTCCTTACCTGATTCAACTCTATCCTTCCTGCAGTATGTGACTTGGCTACACGGTATTGAAGTTTATAATTTTGACGGTTTAGTTATTAATAAAAAAATTAAAATTTATATTTAAAAACAATTTTTAGGATTATTTTATAATTTTTATAGTTTAACTTATAATTTTTTAGAAATAAGCTATTGGAGGATCGATTCCAATACTTATAATTTAATCCCAAAAAATTCTAAAAATTTATATATGGCAATAAGGTACCAATTTTATTTTATTTTATTTTTTGTTATCCTAGCTTTCCCCATCCAACAAATCACGTGCATTTGTTTATTTTATTTATAATAATGATATATTCACCATGTTTGTCCACAACTTTATTTACCCCATTTGATGTGGCATAATTTTAATCATTAAATATTTAATGGAACTACTAATTCAATGGTTTATATTGAAGTAGTGCACAAACTTGATGTGTGGAGCATTATTATAGCTTTCATACTTCATCGTCCAAGGTATTTGGCCACGCGTACCAGCGTGTATATATGTTCTTTCAATTTTTTTTTTTTTGATTTAATAGTCAATGATATTCAGATTCAACTTACGCACACTTCGACTAATCTCCCTCAATCCAGTCAAAGGCAGGTCATTTACGTTAGGACTAAGTAATTCATGAGGGATAAATTCCTCATGACCTAGCTCTAAGAGATTTGCTGAAATTCAAACTCAGAACGTCTAAATTTGCAGTTCGTCTCTATTATCACTTGAGCTATCTTTGGAGATTATATTTATGTTCAATAACCGCACAGACAATGGGGAAAATAAAAGGGAGAATCTCACTTTATACCCCAAAAAAATTAAGATTTTTTAATATGTACCTTTAAAAATTAGAATTTTTTACATTATACCTTATTAGAGATATTGTAACGTGGCATTCCGTTAACTTTCATTACTTATTCTATCAAAAATTACTCTATTAACATTGACGGAGTGAATAACAAAAAATACCGAATGTATCATATAATAACACTTTTAATATATTAAAGATACAATATTAAAAATTTAATCTTTAAATAAAGATGAAATCCGACCAATGAAAATTTGAATAAAGAATTTGTGCATACAATAGATACATTTGAGAAGAAAATCATCCCTTCGATTTAGCCATACCATAAATTCTTAAGATGAGTATCCAAAATTGTTGAACTGATGGATGGTTGAAGTATCAATTCCTAAAGGCTCTTCTAGAACTAAGCTATAAGTGAAATATAATTTGGGGCCTCAAACACACCAATAAAATATTACTAATCAATTAACAAGGATAAATGACTATCACTTATCAAATTATTATTATTATTATTAATGCATATCCCGTAGCACGTTGCCGCCTTTCCCGATCAAGTCGTAGCCTTTCTCGATCATTCTTTCTTCATCACCTTGTGGTTTGCTCCCGTAGCACTTTGTCACCTTGTGGTTCAAAAATAGGCACATAGCCCCCTTGCAATTTTGGACCAAGTTGCTATTGTCATAATTTTCATACAACTTGATGGAAATTGTGGTACATTCGCCCAATTTCAGAGTGGTTGTGCCAAAAATTTTAATTAAAGTCAATAATTAATGTAAAATGACAAAAAAATCCATCCATCTAAACACTCATGTCTTCCCCCTTGTCATCTCCATTTATTTTAGCCAAACCCACCACCACCACTAGCGACTTTTCACTTTTCTATCTTAACCCAAACCACTAGCAAGGGTCTTCTTTCTTCGGGCAGAACCACCAGTACTAACAACCAACTCTACCTATAAGTCCGATTTCAACATCGACAAAGCCACTTTCGGTTAGCTGCCACCACCATTAGCAACCTCCACCCACAATAACTCAACCCACCATGCCAAATTGATCACTTTCAATTTCAATTTGAACTTGAAGTCGAATTTACTGTCGATTCTAAATTGACCTCAAAATCTAAAAAATAAAAATCCAGATCACATCCAAAAATAAAAAAATCAAAATTAATTTCAGTTCTGATTTTTTTTGGATTTTGCAACAAATTAAAGAGATATTGTTGTGTTTGCAACAAAGAAGAGACTGTATTGGTTGCTATGATTTGTAAGGTGACAATTGTTTCTTGCAGTGGTGTCTCCTACATTAGTTGTTTGTTGTGGTGTGAACTTTGCAACTCTAAATCCAGATTGTGAACTTGGGAACCAATTGATACAAAAGGGTTTCACTGGTTTTTGGGGAAAAAGTGTGTTTGGATTTTATTATAATAATTGTAATTGATTCATGTGACTTTTATTTTAATAGTACAATCAATATTGGTAAGTTTTGATTTTAGTAGTGCCATTGATGAAGAGTAAAAGATAATTGGGAGAAGAAGACAGTGAGGGTATTAATTTAATTTAACCTTTCTTGTGAACGGTTGTGCCAATTGGTCCAAAACTATATGGGGGTTATATGCTTATTTCTGAACCACAAGGTGGCAAAGTGTTACTGGGGCTAACCATAAGGGGGTAAAATGGAATTTTCCAAAAAAAATTAAAATTGATAGGAGATTCTATAAGAAAAAGAGTAATGATTGGTTTTTTGGCTCAGCCCAACCAATCGACTTGTCTGTAGTTACCTCGCTCACGCGGACACGCCACCGCATGTTCTGACGGCTAAACAATTCTAATACCCCCCACTATTCCCCCCCCCCCCTCTCTCTTTCTCTCACCAAGAAACTTCCTGGAAATTCTAGCAAAGAAATCCACTACGACCTATATATATACCACAAAATTCAGAGAGTAACAATCCTTTGCAACACCATACACACACACACACAGAAACACCTTTTTTTATTGAATACCTTATCAAGTATCAACCATGACCATGAAGAGACTCAGAGAGGACGATCATGGTGAGGTTGAAACCCTAGCAATGGCTAATTGCTTGATGCTTCTCTCTGGTCTGGGCAAGACCGTAACACCTTCCGGTCGTCTTTTCGAGTGCAAGACATGTAAAAGGCCATTCTCATCGTTCCAAGCTCTCGGTGGCCACCGGGCGAGTCACAAGAGACCAAAGCTAATGTCGGTGGATCTTGTTCATCAATCTGATCACGATCATGATCACAAACCGTGGAAGCCTAAAACACACGAATGCTATATCTGTGGCCTGGAGTTCACAGTAGGGCAAGCACTGGGTGGCCACATGAGGCGGCACCGTGCGGTCATCACTGAAGGGTCGGTGAGAAAACAATCGGCACCGCCAGTGCCGGCGATTCTGCAGAGGTCGAATAGCAAGAGAGTTTTGTGCTTGGATTTGAAGTTGGGGAGATAGGTCCAATGCTAGACAGTTTTACTTTAAATTTTTTTCATGCTCCGAACTTGGTTACAGTTGATTTATTCTCTTTCTGGGTACTGCGGTTTTTCCATCCCTTTTTAGATTCATAGTACTAGTTTCGGTTTTTTGTTCTCCATGTATATATTTATACATTGAATTCGTTTTTGCTAGTTTTGGGTTATGTTTACCATCTTGGATGTTACATATTCCTCTAGTTTGAATAGAACCCACTAATTCATCCACTTTAGTTTGAATTTACTAATACAAAGATTACCAGAGCCCAATAATTCATCCACTTTTGATTTATCTTTTATGATTCACAAATCTTGTGTAGGATTGGAGATTTAGTATAATATTTCTTTTCATACGTGGTACGATGGAATATGTGGAATATGTTTAATTAGTAAGTTAATTGATCTGTTATTTTAGACTGTGATTCATTTTGTAATTTTTATGTAGTGTAATATATTCATAAATTTTTGACGAAATGATCACGTGTTGAATATGTAATGTCATCTAAAAAAATGACACGTGGTCATTTTCATAAAAAAATTTGAAGTGACATGAATTGAATATTTTAGAGATTAAATTGACAAAATTGATAAAATAAAAACTAAATTGACAAATATTTAGATACTAAAAGTGTTATTAACCTATTTTTTTTATAAGTATACTCCCAATATGAGTTTGAAGCTAAGAATATTAAAATAAAGGGCGACTTGGAAGTCAGTACAATTTTTTAGACTTATTTTGAACAAAAATACAACACAAAATATTATTTGGGCTAAAGTGCATATTTTTAAAAAATAAAAATATTGACATTCGATAAATAGCTGAATGGTTGAAACCCTTTGTATTCCTTCCATATATTTTAGCTACAATCAAGTAATGAGAAGTAAAATTGGAGCATATTTTCTCTAACAGTTTTTCTATCTCTCTTCATATTTTCTCTTACACTATTTATATTAATATTACAACAATATAATTGCACTAATCAGTTAAAATTGTTATATAATACAACAAACAGTTACTCTTGTATTCTAATAAACCAAACAGTTACATAAAATAATTACATAAAATTATGACACCAACATAATTAGTCATTCAGTTGTTTACATAAACTAAATAGTTGCATCATTTAGTATCGCGGTATCATTACACCATCATGCCTTAACAATTGCATGAGATTGTGATTATTACATCCATTAAAAAAAATAGTTACACCCATTAAAAAACAGTTACACCCATTAAAAAAATAGTTACATTCATTAAAAAATAGTTACATCTATTAAAAAAAATAGTTATACATATTAAAAAATAGTTACACAAATTAAAAAAATAGTTATACCAATTAAAAAATTGTTACACTCATTAAAAAAAACAAAAAAATTCTTTTTTTCTTACATCCCAACAACGAACAATACATAATATCTAATAAAATATCTTGGTAAATACTTTTTTTTTTTTGGGGGGGGGGGGAATTCGGTATTTATTCACATATAACTTATGACATTCAAATTAAATCTAATTGCCATGAAATACAGTTGCTGAAGAAGAAGGGTTTTGATCATTAATGCCCCTATTTTACCTCTCATTAATATTGTTAATCTTTACATATTTATTTTCTCAAATAACTGTCAATAATGACTGTATAATTTAAGGGAGGGTGTTTAGGTAAAAAAAAAAGTTTTAATTCATTTAAATTTTGTACCTAAATACAAAAAAATTTATAAAAGTTGTACTTAATATAGTAAATAACTTATTCATATATTTTTGCTCAAATAAGTCTAAAAAATTATACCCATACCCAAAAAACCCTAAAATAAATGGTAAGTGAGGGTTATGATTTGAGATTAAGGTTTTGATACGAAGTTACTTAGATCGTGAGTTAATTTATAATTTTAATTATAGTTTAGGATCAAGAGTCGAAACGATTTGAATTACGAATCCACTCTATTTTTGGTTGTTCGACCAAATTTATGGGGAAACAGAAATGCATCAACTGAATAGTTAAGAAAAAATAGAGGGGCACATCCTTGAATTCCAGCACTTAGATTGAAGAGCGGAATCTTGAGACTAGTTTTTCTTGTTCGTTATAAAGAAAAAGGTGGTACAAAAGCATAAAAGAGAGTCTTCTGACTATAAATACACAGTCGAGCTAGCTTGAACCTAACTCATCTTAAAGATGGATATCGTGATTGCTTGTCAATTGTATCAGTACTATGGTTTGTAGGTGATTTTGTACATCTAAGTCTCATACGTCTAAAAGATGGATATATAATTGGGATGAATATCGATTATATTAAAAAAAATCGTAGACATATATTGTTGTCAACGAATGATTTAATATTCTTTGGAATTCCAGCCTTTCTTAGCATGATAATAAAAAATCTCATTACTTTTCAAAAAAGACCTATAGATAGAGCTCTTAATCAAACCGACATATTTGAACTCGGCTCAGATTCAACTTGTTTTTGCCTCGTTCAAGTTCGGCTCTTTTTTTAAATGAGATAAATTTAAACAATTTTTTAGACTCGTTTAAAAACGGAGCTCGACAAACTCAGTTCAAATTTGACAGACTTGACTTGTTTATGTTCAAATACTCAGACTTGACTTGTTTTGGGCTCGTTCACGTTTAAAAAACAAGTTGAACTAGAACAATTTTTTATGTTTGATTAAAGAAAACAAGTTTTTTAGACTCTGTTCCAACTCTTTTGACTATTAGCCCTACCTAGGGACCAAACTTGGCAGTAAAAAAAATCCCAAATGAATGAATTCGAAACATGCATGCTTACACATTACACGTATGACAAGAACCTTGTTTGTCTATTTATTTTTTTCTTTGTATTACACTATCAAATTAAACAATGCAGCGATTCAAATAGTTGAGTGTGCAAAAATTATCAGCAATTCAAATAGTTGAGGAGGTGAAAAAATACAAGTCATAAAATATAGTTAAAAATGGGGGGGAAACAATATCAAGTGTACAAGGCTACCACCAATCTTGGGTTTGGGTGAAATTCATAAAAACATCTGCTATTACACTCAACTCAAAAAGGATGAATATATTAAACAACAACAATACTAAAGAATTCTACCCTAAAAGCGACCCAAAAGTTAACAGAAAGAAACTAATTGTGGAACAACGTTCTTTTTTTTATAATAAAAAATACCTCATTATTTCTTATACCAAAGAAATCGACTGAAACGAAACGAATAGATTAAATGATAATGACAACAGGCAGGGAAATCAATACACTGTATGCACTTATCTTACAAATGGTAAAACCAAGAAAATCACATTGCACATCAGGGAAAATATGGACAAACAAACAAGAAAAATAAAAAGGTAGAGAATCTTTAATTTAAACCAAGATTAATAACCAATGATCAATTTGGTCTAATGGGATTGACGACGAGAACATAAAAAATTTGACGGCTATGTTTATTTAGTAAGTAGTGCAATGTGCAAAGTAGCTCTTGTGGTATCGTCTCTAAACAATTAGGACATAGATTTTGTAGTACTCGATAAGTTAAAACTACATGTCTACACCATAACAGAACAAAAGGCATTAGCCATCAATTGACTTGGACATGGGGTCCGACAGAATCCAGTTGGACTTGTATATATAACAGTGACAAGCACGACATCCAATGTGTGACGCCCCTAGGCACGACAACCAAGGCGCGACGTCTATGTGCGACGCCCCCTAGGCATGACGCTTGAAGCACAAGGGTAATGCTATTGGGATCTAATTTTTAGACCTAAAAAGGTGACCTTATGATGTGGCAGTTAAGGTGTCCTTACCAACTCAGCAACTTAAGCCAGAAAAAAAAAAAACTTAAACAATCAGCAACTTAAACGATCTCTCTCTCCAAACCAGTACACCTCCTTCCCCAAAACCCTAAAATTTCTCCTCCTCTTGACACAATCTTCTTTACAGTACAAACCCACCTGAAATTGACCAGCCACAAGCAGTAAACCATCAACGTCGGTGTTCTTTCTCCTTGTCTTCATCTTCGTCAGTGTTTTTTCCTTCTTCAGCGACCAGCTTCTTCATCAGATTACACGTTGTCCAGTCGTTCAGTTGTTTTCTTCAGTCGTTCCCTTCTTCAACAATGTTCTCTTTAGCCGTCCAACCATTGTCCAGCTTCTTCAGCCGTTCTCTTCCCTTTTCATCTCTTCGCCGAAGCACACAGTGTCCTGAATATCTGTCAAAATTGACTCCACCACAGTCGGCTCTATAGTACGTGAATTTCATTTTATTTATTTTTTGGGTAATAATTGGAGGTTGATCAATTTGTTTTCGATTTATAGATTTATTTATATATATATATACACACAAACAAAGGTTTGAATTATAGATTTGTCTAACACAAAAAAAAATAAAAAAATCATTTCCTTTTGGTGGTTATTTTGGAGCATAAATAAATTTATTTTGTTATGGTGTTCGGGCATATTACAAAATTCTGGTTAATCAACAAAGCATGTGTTGCAGTAAAATTTTATTACAATGGAATGTGAATCTTCAAGTAGTTTGCAGTTGATAGAAGACAATGTTGTGACTGAAATGGCGAATGTAGTTGGTGTAGACGAGCCTAAGGTTGGGATGATGTTCGAAAGTTATAAACAGTTGCTTGAGTATTACACGGATTATGATAAACAGTTAAGATTCCCAGTGAAGATAAGATCATCAACAAAAGGGGATGATGGTGAGTTGAAATACGTGACTATTGTTTGTTCTCGATCAGGCAAGTCAAAGTCCACTTCCAAAAATCCATTGAAGCCACATCCAAGTATAAAAGTAGGTTGTAAGGCTAAGGTCCTAGCAATTTTGTATGCAAATGAAAAGTGACGACTGAACACTGTCATGCTTGATCATAACCATGAGTTGAGACCACATGTGAAAAGGAAGCTTGAATTGAACGATCGAGTGAGAATTAGACTAAATAAAAATTTCACCACGTTTGTGGTTAAAGTTGGGGGGCATGAAAATATCTCCTTTTTAGAGAAGGATTGTAGAAACTATATTGAGAAAGTAAGGCGGTTACAGCTCGGGGAAGGAGATGCCTCTGCAATACAAAAGTATATCGTAAAGATGCAAGCTGAAAATGTAAATTTCTTTTATACAATGGATTTGGATGCTGAGGGTCGATTAAGGAATGTGTTTTGGGTTGATGCAAGGAGTAGGGCAGCATATCAAGAATTTGGTGATGTTATTACATTTGATACTACATATTTGACAAATAAGTATGGCATGCCCTTTGCTCCATTTGTAGGTGTTAATCATCACGGACAATCGACTTTGCTTGGATGTGGTTTGATCTCTAGTGAAGACATAGAAACATTTACTAGGTTGTTTCAATCGTGGCTTGCATATATGTCTTACAAAGCTCCACATGCCATAATTACCGATCAAGACAAAGCCAGGCAAAAAACAGTTGAGATTGTTTTTCCTAATGCTAAACTTCGATGGTGCTTATGGCACATCATGAAAAAATTGCCTGAAAAGTTGAGAAGTTATGAGCAGTATGAATCCATCAAATATTTCTTGCAAAGGGTCGTTTATGATTCATTAAGTTGTACTGAATTTGAAGAAAGATGAAATGGAATGATTGAAAAGTGCATGCTACATAATAATGATTGGTTGAGTGGGTTGTACAATGAGAGGCGTCGTTGGGTGCCTATCTTTGTGAAAAATATTTTTTGGGCGGGAATGTCTACCACACAACGAAGTGAGAGTATGAACTCATTCTTTGATGGCTATGTCAATTCTAAGAGTACCTTGAAACAATTTGTCGAACAATATGAAAATGCATTGAAAAGTAAGGTGGAAAAGGAGAACCAGGAAGAATATAAGTCTTTATCTTCGCAAGTCCCTTGTGTAACCTATTATGATATGGAGAAACAAGTTCAAAGAGTCTACACTATCTCAAAATTTAAGGAGTTTCAAAGCGAATTGACAGGGAAGATGTATTGTGATTTGACTTCGGTCAAAGTGGAAGGTTTGATTTCTGAATACGACGTATCTGAGGATATCATGATTGAGGAGAAAAGAAAGAGTGCAAACTTCAAGGTTTGGTTCAATGAAAAAGATTCTGAAGTGAAGTGCAATTGTTGCTTGTTTGAGTATAGAGGAATATTATGCAAGCATGCAGTGGCAGTGTTAATCCGTAAAAAGATTTACTCACTTTCGGATAAGTACATCATACGGAGATGGATGAAGGATGTGAAAAGATGTCATACAAAGATTAAAATCAGTTATAACTATTTGAGTGCCACACCTGAAACAAAACGATTTGATCAAATGTGCAATGCTTTTAGCAAGTTGGCAAGCTTGGCGGCAGAATATGAAGATAAGTGCACGTTTGTGATGGATTGTATACATGATCTAAAGGAGAAACTACAACAAAACGAAGGAGGTAGTGGAAGTTATCAACCAAGTCCTAGCTCGATTGTTGGTAGAAACTCTGGTGAGAAGAAAATACTTATTCCATTAGCAGTTAGTAGCAAAGGCCATCCACCATTCAAAAGGAAGCAATCAAAAGTTGAGCAAGTTACAAGGAAAAAAAAGAAAACGAAAAAGAAGATGCTATCGCATGGAAATCATACAACCAAAGGAGAAGAGGTGTGAATAAAATGACAATTTTTAAAATAATAATGTAGTAATTATTTCCTTTCATTATTTTATTTTTTGTAGGATTGCCGACCGAGTGAAAGTGATGCCATTGGGCTTGTTGGTGGTCAACCCACGAGTGAAGCGATTGATGTACTTGGAACACAAGAAAGTATTGGGATGATAGTATAACATCAACATCCAAATTATAATTATAATATTTGGATGTTATTTATTATTGTTATGGGGGGTCACTTAAATATGTCTTGGAAATCATTTCATGGTTAGCAATCTAAGATTCATTATAGAAATTCTTTTTTTTTTAATAGTTGTACTATAATTTCAATTTATGAAATTTCTTATTCTTGTTTACCATAACCAATATCTTTCTTGGCATGGTGAATAGGGTATGCACCCTGTGCCTTGTTCTAGTTCCAAAGAAATGGTAGACATTTCAGAGTTGCCCATTACGTCTTCAACGTCAACATCTAATGGCAAGTATATTTGATGAGTTGGAGAGAAGTTTAGGAATTTTTGTTTTTTATTCAAAAGTTGAGTTTTTGTTCATAAACTTGAATCAACCATTAATTGTACTAATTTTTCCTATAGCAGGTACGGAAAAGAGGAAGATCGTCTAGTTTTGCAAGAGGAAGATTGTAGTATTTTGTGTTCACTTTGTGTTACCTGTCCATCTGACATGATTTCTAGTTGTGTAAGAGAAAGACTGTAGTTAGTATTTTGTGTTCATTTGTGTTACTAATGTTGTATTGGATACTTTGGATATTTGTAATACAATTTAGGGGTTGAATTTTGCCTTTTGATAATACATTATTGTGGTTTGAATATTTGTAATACTTTTGGATGTTGCCTGCAATCTTTGCTGCAAATGGACTACTTGTTTAGCTATTTCAGCTGGACTCTTGCTGTTTTCATTTCAGATATAAAACAACAAAATCTATTTGAATTTTTTAAAACAAAAAATTTGTTGCCTTCATTCTGATGACAGCTTGATTGGGGTTTCTTGTTTGGTGTTTTAGGTTGGATGGTAATGATGGAGTTCTGGACTGGGGGTGTATGGTGATGGTGGCGGTTATGTAGTGGTTGCCATGATGGTGAGGTGCATATATTTGTGCATGAGTACTGCTCTACTAACACCATTGGTGAGAAGGGGCAGCTAGGTTTCATTTGCAGTTCAGTTAATGTAAATTTCATTTGCATTGTTCAACTTTGTCTGTGTATACTCGATATTATGCAATAGGGTGAAGTAGGTAAGAAATATACATAGGCAGACTACAAATTAAGAGGAGCAGTACATTGATTCAACAATTACTTTTTTGGTATAAGAACTCAATTGTTCCACACAATAATAATACATCTACTCTCCATCAATTATAAGAATTTACAACGGTTTTCTTCTCAAACAGCAATCCATCAATTCTAAAATAATTTACAATAGATTTTACAATGTCCAAAATATCAAAGTCATACATAGACAATTCGTCGAACGGTTTGTAAGCAAAACCAATCTTGAGACTCCTACACAGACCTTTCCTAAAAAAAATACCCAATTTCAAGCACACAAACAATGGTCCCCGTTTTCATCAACAAACCAGTTCAAAAAAAAAAAAAAATTCATTCGTAATTCGTAGGGCTGTTGATGTGGTGCTGGACAATGGGCAGGCACTTCGATGAAGATAGTAATGACTTCGTGTATCGCCGGATGTCTAATTCTGATAACCGATGTTGGCTGGAATTTTTAAGCTTATCAGCTAAAGAACCTCCAGAAGCGTACTCCAACAAGACATTGTATAATTTCTGGCCATTTTCAAAATTGAAACTGTCACCAAAACAACGAACAATCTCCGGACAATCCTGAAGCTCCTCCAATACCATCTTTTCATTCATCAACAAAACAGCGTACAAAGCATCACAAGATTTCTCGGCCATTAATGGAGTAATTTACGGGCTCTGGCTTCTGGGTATTGCAAGATTGACTGTCCCAAAGCTTCCATGACAAAATGTTCCACCATGTACCCACTCCATGGGTATGATTGGAGCTCAAATTGTGGGTTTTTACAGTGAAGAAGATTGTGTCAAGAGGAGGAGAAATTTTAGGGTTATGGGGAAGGAGGTGTATTGGTTTGGGGAGAGAGATCATTTAAGTTGCTGATTGTTTAAGTTTTTTCTTTAAAGAAATTAGGTTTCTTAAGTTGCTGAGTTAGTAAAAATACCTTAGCTGCCATCTCATCAGGTCACATTTTTAGGTCTAAAAATTAAGTTCCAATAACATTATCCTAATCGAAAGTATCACCTCACCAAAATATCTGACTGTGTGCATACTGTAAATTTGCTTGGTGTCTTGAATGGAAAATATTATTTGGACCTAAAAATTTGACATAATTTATTGACCTAATGATGTGGCTTCATTGAAACAATTAGATTAACACTAATTTTCAATGTTTGATGGAGCCCACAGTTAATCCAAAAATCATAATGAATTAGATCAACAAATTAAATCAATAAATTAAGTTCTAATAGCATTGCACGTCTTGAATATATTTGACTTCTTTGACATATTTACATATGGATTTTTCCCACGTAGCAGCCAATATCCACTTAAAGACTGAAACGTCACCCATTACCAGCTTCTTGTTTCAGTCGGGACCTTTTGGGGAGAAAATATTAACAGAGCACTTAATTTAACACTCAAATCAATAAAATTATTGGGCATGTTTGGAATTAACTAAAATAGATAGCTTTTAAGAATTTTAGAATAAAATAGGTCAAGTTTGTTTGGATTTTAGCTTAGCGAGAAATGTTACTGAGACATAATTTATTGACGTAATTCACTATGACATTTAAATTGAATGTGAACTTCATCAAACATTAGAACTTGTTGTTGATCTGATAGTTCTATTGAAGCTACGTCATTATATTAGTAAATTAAATCAAATTTTTAGATTCAAATAGGATTACTCTTATCTTTTAGCTTTTTTACCGTTTTATGTAGCTGCTTTTTGAACCCCAAAAGACTTATTTAGGTTAATTGAAAAAATTAATTTTATAAACTTTTTTCTGGTTTTTTTAGAGTTTTGTCGCAAATTTCACATAATTTTTTAGTTTATTATGTTCATAAAATATTAATAGTAACGTAAAAAAAATTAAAATTCATATTTTAAGAATTATTACACATAATATATATATATACATATAATTATTTTTTCATTTTGACATAAAAAATTAAAAAAATTAGAAATTCAAATGAATTTTTTTAGTTATTTCTGTTTTTAATGACCATTAAATTAGAAGTAATATTATTGGGATGAATTTTAATTTATTGAGTTAATGATGTGATAATGACATAATCTAATAGTATTGTTATAACAATTATTGTTGGACTTCTTAATTTGAAATATATCAATTGAGTTTTTTATATCTCAATAGCATTACTTTTAAATTAGTTATAAGCTTCAATATTAGATAAAACTCATTTTTAATTCAATAATTACAATGGATTTATGTCTCAAATTAGATCCAAATGGTATTTTTCAAATGACTTAAAAAATTAATCTAATTTGTTAACATAATAAAGTACTAAATGATAGAGTTCTAATGAAAAAAATTAACAATAAAAATATTATTAAATCAAATTTTTAAGTCTTTTTAATAATTTCTCAAAATTTATAAAAAAAAATTTTGGTTAGAGACAAAATTTATTGTGAAGGGATTAAATTAAGACAATAAAAAATCCAAGAACTATTTTAAAATAAAAACAAAATTTAAGAACTAATTATAATATTTATCCTAATATTTTTCATATATTCTTTGAGCTAAAATCGGGTGCTCCTGACACACACATCATATCAAACTTTTTCGTCACCACAAAACCTACCCGTATACTCTCAACTCCCCCGCCGTTCGCGGCCGGTGCATTTTCATCCTGAATAACACCGACTTGGTAACGGAATCGACCTTTAATACACATCGAAGGTATGGATCATAGAGATTCTCTGTTCTTATATTCCTCCAAGATTGTGGTTAGGGTTTGACTGTCTTGAATTTCATATCTCCAAAGTTATATCGGATCTTTTTATACCCGGTTTATTAATCATCTCAAAGAGAAATATTTTGAAATTCGTCGTTTTCGAGATGTTATCTTGTGAGTTTTGAGTTCTAGGATTTTGATTTTGCAGGCGAATCAAGAGAATGTATGTTGTCCCTTTTCCTTGTTTGCATCGAACTCGCAGTGCGTGAAAATTGCTGTCCGTAGTCATTTGTTGTGTTCTTATCCATTGAAGTTGAAGGTGCAAAATGGTACGTTAGCTGACTCTTTCTCAGAGACTGTCGTTAGCATATGTGGGTTTATTTATTTATGTTGTGTTGTTTGACCGGAATGTATGATGTTAGTAATGAGTATATGATGGGGGTTTTTTCGTGGTTTTTCTTGCTATGTACAATGTCAATTCTTAGTCCAATTGAATAATACTTAGAATACTTTTGATCACTCCGAGTTGGAAATGTATAGTGTAGATATAATTTTAGGGCCCCTTAAAATACTATAGTTCAAGAAATTATGCTCTATAATTTGAATTTCTCAATACTTGTAACAAGCTTTTTGAAGTAGATTTTCATAATGCTACTGCATATTTGGAGCCCTTGCCTTGAATTGAGATTATAATGTTTAGGCTTGGATCAATATCTCACTTGAGGCTGAATGACGTCTTTTTCCGGATGGTTAGCCTCTTGAACAAAGAACATTGAAAAAACAGAGAATGTAGGACTTGATTATCTAGGATTGGAAACTCATTTATTAGTCTTTTAGTCATTGTTGTTTTTTGTTCTACAAGTCTTGGAAATCAAATAGTATATAGGCCCTTTAATGTATTCATGAATGAGAAATCTAGTATTGTTGAGGAAGTTGACATGATTTGTAGAATTTTTCTTGACCAAAACTGAAAAGAAATAAGTGGCAAAAATTGGAACATGATTTGCAGAAGTTTTAAAGTTCATGTTTCAGATGTGAAGACCATTCACTTATGCATATGAAGCCTGACAAGTGACGACTATTTATTATTGATCGAAAGCCTACAAGGGTTGGAAAATTTAAAAACAACTCACTCAAAAACTTAGTGTGGTAGAAATGAGGATGTTATGCGTGCTAAAACAAGAAAGGTTCAAATTAGGATCGAGTATATTCATGATCCATAGAAGTAACACTAATAGGAAATAAATTAAGATGTAATCTATTAGGTGATTTGGACATGTTTATAGGAGACCTAATAATGCACTAATGAGGAAGAGTGATTTGATAGATATCAATAGCAATAAGAGAGGTGGAGGTAGGCCGAAAATAGCTTTGAAAAAAATAGTGAAAATGGATATGATTGAACGATTTAAGCAAAAGTATAACATTTAATCAAGCACAATAGAAAAAAATGATTCATATAGTCGACCCCAAAATTGGTATAAAAACTTTGTTGAATTGAGTTTAGTTGAGTTGAGTATGGTCCTCCTCACAAAGCAAGAGCCAGCAATTAGAACATAACACACTTGTGGAAGTTGTTTAAGGAAGCTCCAATCAAATCACTCGGTCAAAGAGAGATTCATCTATATAAAGAGGACAATTTCCTTCAAGAACTGGTGTCACTGGGTCATTGAAAGATTCTAATAGGGAGGTGATCAACAAGTCATGCAAGCAAGCTCACTGCTGGTAACATTTAGGGGTGTGATTGCATGGTGTGATGGTGAAAGCTCCGCTGATAACTTGAGGTGGTTGGTTCAAATACTGTTGAACTCTTTTGTTACAAAGAACCAAAAATATCAATACTATACTCCTTTTTAATGCAATTTACAGTTTTCTTCTTCAAATTCTGTTGATCTCCTCAATCTGATTCATTAAATCATAGAAAAGGTTAACTCTATAATTATCATATTTTTGGTGGTTCAAATTCATGCTAACTGGAAGGGGGAACTTTCCTAACTTCTTTGATCATTTCATTCTGGCTTTCTCAATTAGTCTCTCTCTCTCTTTCTCTCATGTTTGTAATGATATATATATTTTCAGTTATGTCGCATAATCCAATAAATTTCTGTTTTCTTTGGTTTACACTTATAATTATTGTTTGTGTCAGTCTTTTCATGACAAGCAATTCTGGGTTTCAAAGGGTGGTGGACATCTAACTGATGGCGAAACAGTGTTTGATAACTCTTCCAGAATTGAACCCAAGCGTTCCCATCAGTGGTTCGCTAATGCTGCTGAACAAGAGTTATTCCCAAATAAAAAGCAAGCTGTTCAGGCCCCAAATAGCGCATCAGCCTCTGGAATTCCAACAAGTTCAATTTCTTGGGAGACTGCTTCTAATTTACAATCTGTGCCAAACCAATTTGTGGACCGGTTATTCGGATCCGAGACAACCAGGCCTGTCAATTTTACTGAAAGGAACTTTTCTGAACAGTTTGGAAGTGATTCCTCTGTTGCTTTGTCTATGTCTTATACTGTAGAAGACCCTGAAACATGCATAAGCTATGGTGGAATTAGAAAAGTTAAAATTAATCAGGTTAAGGACTCTGACAATGGTATGCAAGCATCAAAGGAACACAATGCTAACATGTTCATGAATGAGGCATATGACAGGGGACATGAAAGCAGTTTTGTAACAATGCAGCAGACCTACAGTAAAGATGACAGTGTCGCGTTAATTGGTCACACCTACAACACGGAGAGTGCAAATATGAGATCCATGGTTTCTGCCTTTGGAAAGAGCAATGACAATGGCATGTCTTTTGGTCACTCCTATAACAAGGGGGATGCCAACTCCATATCTTTTGGTGGCTTTCATGAGGAATCTGATATTGATGCCTTGGCTACACCGGTGAACAGCTATAACCTGTTATATAATAAATCGCCTGTTCAGACATCAGAAACACCTGGCAAGAAGGAGTTGGATGTGTCAAATGCCAATGCAGTTGTGAGTGCCTCTCAAGTAGCTAAATCCAGACCTGAGTTAGCGTCCAAGAACAAGTCAGAATCAAAATCAGCTAGGAAAGAAGCTCCAAACAGCTTCCCTTCAAATGTAAGAAGTTTAATAGCAACTGGCATACTTGATGGTGTTCCTGTAAAGTATGTTACCTTGTCACGGGAGGTAAATTTCGGCTCTTTTGTTTTTATTTCTTCTGTTTTTGTTGGTTAGTGACTTGTAGAAATCTTCCTGCATGTGATAAGGAGCTTTGCGGGGTTATTAAAGGATCTGGTTATCTATGTGGGTGTCAATCATGTGATTACTCTAAGGTGAGTCATCCATTTGTATTCAACTTCATTGTGACTATCTGGGCCCAGTTGATGATTATCTGTTTGGTTGTAAGGCACTCAATGCCTATGAGTTTGAACGTCATGCTGGTTGCAAAACAAAGCACCCTAATAATCACATCTACTTTGAAAATGGGAAGACCATCTATCAAATAGTCCAAGAGTTAAAGAGCACCCCAGAGAGTTTGTTGTTTGATGCGATCCAGACTGTGACTGGTTCACCAATCAATCAAAAAGCCTTCTGAACATGGAAAGGTAACACCATCGAGTTGTTAAATGATGTTTTTTGGAGGAATTTAGAATGGATCATCTCTGTTTCTCTCTCACACACCCACCCACACAGACAGTACACATACACACGCGCACACCCCCACGAGGTCATCTATCTTGTATATTACACCAATCAATTTCTTCTGCTCTCATTCTGTCTATATTCTTGTCTTCAGAATCATTTCAAGCTGCCACCCGTGAGCTTCAGCGTATTTATGGAAAAGAAGAACTGAATCTGTGATGCTTAACACAGTGGGCCTTCAGTTAATTTGTGAGATAGTATACTCTCTTTAATGTGCATAGTAGCAAATATATAGTTTTGGTGAATTATCTCTATGGAGTGGTGGATCGTACGAACATTTGATGCCTTGTTTAATTTTGATGCGCCCAAGTATATAAAACTTTTTGGCGTCTACATGGTTCTTTGGGATGAGGTGTTTTGGTAGATAGAATCCAATTTTACTTCATAATTGAAAGGAAAGCACTCTGTTACCATTAATGTGGCTCAATACCTTGTAGGTTCAGAATGATTAAATTGGAATTATTAAAGCCAGTTCTACTTTTTCTTCTACCAATTGCCTATTCTAATTAGTCAAGGATGAAGTGGTAGACGCGGGTAAAGATTGCAATATTTGTCTTCTCCTCATCTCTCTTAAAAATATGATGGGACTCAGTTCCTCTATGTTTCACTTGCTTGAGGGCCAAAGACGCAAACTATTCTAATATACGGTAACTATGGAAATGATTGGCACTGGTTTGATTTCATTGAGATAGTGGTTTTCATTACAAGGTCTGAGGCAGAGCAGAAGGAACATGAAAAATACTTCTGATGAGTTACATGGTTGGAGCCAACTGATTCTGACACTACCTTACACAGCTTGTTTTATGATTGCTTTATATTTTTGCAAATGGCGTGACTCGAAGTCAAGGTTGCTTGGAAATTTCAGAAAGAAAATGCAAATTGAAGGCACTAGTCCATCCACAAATGGTGCAAGTGTACTTGCCTTCCTAGATTTTGGAGTTTGAGGGACTGGCTCAATGGAAACAGCATCTGCCTGAATCTCTTCTTGATAATTTGCTTGGACGGTTAAGTGTTTGGTGCTTGGGCTTGCTTTGAAGAAGCTGTGCAAAGTGTGCAAAATCGTCTACGAACTGTGCTGCTACCACCATCTTCACTGCTGGTAATCTCTCCACTGTTTCTCTTGTCATATTCACCAGTTTAGCAATATAGCTTTAGTCTCCACGATAGCTTTAATGCCAATCCGCAGTCACAGAAAGTTTTGTTTCTACTGTGTAGCCGAACTGATTGGTTGAATATGTATTATAATTGTACCTATGTCTGCTTACGTAATTGTGGACTTGAAAGTTTTTCGGGTGCCAAATTTCTTTATTTTCTCGACCAGATCACTTCACGAATTGGAAAGTCAGTGCGTATTCCACCGTGGGAAGAGACAAGATCATTCATTTGATATCCTGATTTACTTGGTTTTATTTCCCCTCATTATTACTATTTAGGTTTTTTATAGTTTAGCCTTCATCAAACCTTAAAAGGTACCAACAATCATATAACCTATCCTCATACAAATATTTAGAGGGTGTTTACCCTGCTTTGTTTATTTGGAAGGTCAAAGAGCCTCTCAAGCTGAAAGTTTTTGAATGGACCGTCGCACATGGTAAAAGATTAACGCCTATCATATGCGTCAGAAAAGAAGGCTTTTTACTTGTCTTTTACTTCAATGGTGTGGTGTGTGATGTGTAAAAGTGACTTTAAAAATATTGACCATTTATTTTTATATTGTCTCGTTGCTCTGACTTTGTGGTATAAACTATTTGGATTTGTGGGATTGAGTCGGGTTATCCGGTGTTCATGTACTCTATTTGTGGAATATTTACATGGCCTTGGTGGATATGGTAACGGTGAGACTTTTGGAGTTGTGTTATAACGGCTATGTTTTGGGTTATTTGAAAGCAAAGAAATACAAGGTAAACAAGAGTGCTTGGATGAATTATCGATCTCATTCAGATAAGAGAGAATAAGCAAATACAGGTAACGTGGATCAAAGATGCAAGAAATTTAGTGAGGTAAAATAGAACAAAGTGTTTGTAATAAAATAAATTTCTGAAATAATGTAAAAACCTATTTTAACACGACAAACAAGTTTTGAAAGAATGACAGAATTAAGAAAAATTACAAGCACCCATCATATGGTCATCACAAATTAGTTTTCTTTTCCCTGCAGTGTAGCGTCCAAGGAGTGACCTCTTGCCATTAAAACATGTCGTCCATCTACGAACCACAGCAAGCTGACTTTTGGGCAAGTTGACCAGCTCCAGCCCCCGGATCTGGTTGATTTATCTTGATTGTTGTAGGCTGCAGTCACACAACCAAAGATGATGTCTTTCAGTACTTGAAAAAACAAAGTGGTAAGTTTTTGCAATCTATCAAGGAAAATTGATATTAGGCCACATGGTCTACCTCTGCCCTTGAATCGGTGTCTGCAAGCCGTTGTTTTATATCCCTAGCTATTGAAAAGAAAACTTGCTCCACATTGAGATTTGTTTTTGCACTCTGCAGCAAGCAGCATATTCTAACATGTATATACACAGATATGACCAAAAAGTTATCAAGCATATTCCGGAAATACTTACAGTTTCAAAGAATTTGATGCCATACTCATCAGCAAGTGCTTGGCCCTTGGAAGTAGGCACGGCCTACAATGATTAAAGAGAGATGGAAATTTTCAGATTTACGGGGCTCATGAACCACCTCAGTAATGAGATGGAGATTTAGATGCAAGCTGCTTAGGATCGAAATTCCAAGCAACATTTTTAATCATCAAATTCCAAGCAACTTAAATGACACAAAAATGTTCAATCCAAAAGGGAAAAAAAACTGGTTCACAAACAAAAGCACACCCTTTTACTTTCATCCATGTCAGCCTTGTTGCCCACCAGTATTTTGTTCACATTGTCAGAAGCATGTTGCTCTATATTGCGAATCCAGTTCCTAATGTCTGGAGAAGGGGGGGAAAAAAGGAGCGAGATCTTTTAGAGTCAGATAACAAGACAGCAATTATGACACATGTTCTCATAAACCAACCACCTTCTTAGCCATTCCCCTAGATGCTAAACAAGTTACGTAGCAAGTCTGGTTAGATGATGCCCAACTATTACGGGGGGAAATTCAAATAATATGCTTTTAAAGAATTATCAATTATGACAATCAACTTTACATTAGAATTACTTTCCAGACAAAAACTATTACACTAGGACTAAAAAAGAAATTACAGCTAGTGTGATCACAGCAGTTTTTTTTTTGGGAGGGGGGTGGAATTTATGGGGAAGGAGGGGCAAATAGGGAATGAAGCCTTACTGTTGAAAGATGATTCATCCGTAACATCGTACACCAACAAGATACCCATGGCACCGCGGTAGTAAGCTGGAAAGGAGAATTGTTTCAAGAAAGAGGTATGAGTTTAATCGTATGTAGCTAATATGTGACTTCACAAAATTAAGGGAACGTCATCAGCAAAGAAGAAGTCAAATTTCCTGTATTTGCGCCATTACATCATTATAAATCAACTATGTATACCTTGGGTTTGACTTCTGGGAGGGAGCCTACAAAAATAATCTCGTTGGATAATGCTTAGAATCAGTCCACATCCTTTTTCAATGCGTTCAACCATATTTTAAAATTTGGGACAGTTGTGTAGGGAGATAAAAAAAATAATGGTCATTCGGAAGGGTTCAACTTCAACTTCAACCAGAAGCTCTCTGAGAGTAAGGATGGAGAAATCAGGGAGCTTTTCCCTTCATTTGTGATACAAGCCACCACAACAGCCGATAGCAGATGTCACGGGAGAATAACTGCTGTAAAATTGATGCCATGAAATTATTGACTAGACTCTGAAATTTACCAGTTGTGATTGTTCGGAACCGTTCCTGACCAGCTGTATCCCAGATTTGGAGTTTGATCCGTTTTCCATCAAGTTCAATGGTTCTGATTTTAAAATCAATGCTGCAGAATAAAATATAACGACTCATCAGAAGAAATTGTCAGAGAAACTAAACCTCAGTACAAGACAATAACTCTCATAGTTCAGACAGAAACTCACCCAATGGTGGTGATGAAACTTGTGGTGAAGGAACCATCAGAGAAACGCAAAAGAAGGCAACTCTTACCCACACCTGCAAGAGTGAAAAAAAAAAAAAGAAATAGATAAATCTGTCGAGCATCTTTCATTTGGAGTAGTAACAAATGTTCATAACAATAATGTAATCTCATGAAATTGTCTCTATCAATGGGTACAGAATATTAACAAATAGAATAAGCATACGGAAATGCCAGGAAAAATGGTGGACACAAGCTCAGTTAGAGTGTAAATTCTACATAGCCATCCATCACTATGCATTGAATAAACAGATTGTATAACTAGACAGTAGTTTCCGGACCAGAAACCTACTTAATAGAGATATTTTATTGTCATTTGGACTACATCAGTACACAACCAAACAACTTCTATGCAAGTTCTCTCCCCAACCCCAATCATTGTCGAACTAAAGCAATTGCCATCATTTCTACACGAGGCAAATTCTTGAAGAATAACTTTGTTAGATGATCACCCTCCAAAACTTAATATGTAAGATTAGCAAAATGCTACCTATAAATCGTAAACAAGATCAACAAATTAATCCCATGTTAATGGAACGTCGCAGATTGTTGAAAAACTCTATGATCGACTTAATACAAAAGCAGAATACCGTGTGCTACAAATTCGTATCTAGTAGGGAGGCAATCAGTTTCTTACAGTCAAATAGGATGATGCCAATTCTTTTTTTTCACAAAGGATGATCCTAATACTGCAGAAAGAAGACAGTATGCAGGACTAAGAGGGTGGCATAAATAACCTAAATGCCATCTACATGGACAAGCCAGTTTTTCCCTAGAATCTGAACCGCGAATTCCAAACACACTTGTGAACACAAAGTTACTGAAAAATTTACCCCCAAAAAAAATGTTACTGAAAAATTAGGTCAACATAATGTCAGTCAACTAGATCCGTACAAAACAACAATTAGAAGCCTTGAATTCAAACAAAAAAAGGCTTAAATCTCAAATGTAAACACGATCCACACAAATGCAATCACACACATCAGCAGGACCATTGAAAGTTGAAAACAAGGAAAATGTGAAATAACGCACCACTATCGCCGATCAGGAGGAGCTTTATGAGGTAATCGTAGTCTGCTCGAGCCCTTGATGGTGGAGCGGCCATTGAAGAATCGACCAAGCGAAAAAGCCCTAAATTTTATACACGCGTAATCTTCCCTGTCCTCAGAGAGATTTGAATATGCACCAGATCAGAAATACGGAGCCGCTCAATGAAGAAAGGGATCCGCCATGAAAGATAGATTTCTAACAGGAGAGAGAGAGAGAGAGTGTTTTGCTATAATTACCAACGGGGTCTAAAGCTTAATCGGTTCACCGTCCGACCTACAAGCTTTCAATTTCAATGATGATGGCTAATATGCGCACCTTCCCCACTTTCTAAGTTTAACCTTTTTTAAGCGTGCGCCGATCGGTCCCCTGCGCACTATAGCAAATCGCCACTCCAGGGAAACAGAGAGAGGGGGAGAGAGAGAGAGAGAGAGACAGCAGAGACCCTCGGGCGTATTTGACAATCCGCGTCGGAAGGAAAATTCCGGTGGTCCCAAGCCCACGGTACTGCCAAATTCGTACCCTACATACCACATGTCGTCCGTTGATTAGTGCAAGACCCAGCTTGGAGCTGGGTCCAAGTCATATGTACGTACATTGATCTGGTCCAAATCATTGAGATACAACTGTCAGATGTTATTGAAACAAGAACAACTTTGACGGTTTCACTGAATCATAACCGTCCACAACATGATTGGTCGTTAAGAAATTATTTGTGTTATAGTAATGTTTAAGTATGGTGCTTGTATGATTAAAGTTAGTGTGATAGTTAATTGTGACACTTGGCACATGACAATGATCTAACGGTTGTTAGAGGCCCTTGACATTGAATTCTGATAACACATAGGGGGTTTGATTATGTTTTTTGTGTAACCAGTTGGTTACCAGCATAGTATTAGCTAATCTTTCCATTATAAGTAAATTCAGATGGGAGAAGACTATAGTATGAAAAAAAAAAATTAGTTCTATACCACCAAAAATTTATAAATTTTGTTGGTCAAAATATAAGTTTTTGGGTTTGTTTATCACAAAAAAATAATACAACTTTGGGGATTATTTATAATTTTTAAGATTTATTTGCGATAGATCCAAAGTAATCTCAAAAATCATACATAATCCTCAACAATTATAATTTTTCTTCAAAGGTTGTAAATGATCCCAAAATCTATAAATAACCACTAAAAATTGTACATGACATTTGATGATGCACAATTTGATTTTATGCACTACCTGTCAAGTAATTAATGCAATAAATAAATAAGGAGAGAGTCAACACAAATAAAATACAATTTAAGTGGTTCGATCACAATGACCTACTCTATTACGAAGGATTATGATGACCTGAGTATTTTATTACTTCAAGGAGTATAGATGCTCAAGTATAAGTAATAGACGAGATAAAAGATGTGAGATGCCCCTTATGCATACGCCGGACTTATAATTTATAGGGGCGACTTACAATTTATAGGCTCTAATGATGCACAAATTAGTTTGCACACCACTAGTCAAGTTGTAATATAAAATACAATAAGTAGGAGAGAGAAGACAGGATTTACAGTGGTTCGGTCAATACGACCTACGTCTACTTTGAATAGCTAGGTTCGTCGAAATTTTATTATCTCCGGTGTGGAGGGAGAGTACATGATTACAAGCTTTGAGAGAGAATGAGAGAATTATGCTCAAATGAGTTTAATGCCCCCCAAGTGTCAGAGGAGCTTACAATTTATAGTGGTTTGATGTTAGTAATTGTATGACTATTCTAACGGTTATTATGGCTTAGGACCGTTTGATAATAATTAGTTAGCTAATCCGGCGAAGACAATCTATCATCTTCTCAACGGGCGAGGTGTGACAGTTGGTGTGCTCTCCAAAGGACTTGGTCAAGGATAAGTGAGGTTGACTCTCTCCTACGAGGGTGAGGCTCCTGGATGCTCCCTTGGTGGCGTAGAGGAGGCTCTTGGATGACTCTCTTTGATGACCCTTACTCCAAGGTGGTAGAGAAGGCTCTTGGATGACCGTGCATTCTCCCCTGTTGATGTAGCTCCTTGATATTGATAAGGTTATCCGGGTGTAGACTCATTTGAGCTTGACTAGATGGATCTCTTGGAATTGGGCCTTTAGCTCGGACTAGGCTTATAACATGGGTTGAGCCTGGCCCATCATTTGCCCCCCCCCAATGCCCTGTGTCCAACAGAACTTGGAAAAATGGCATTTAAATTGAATTTGATTTTTTACTGACCAGCATAATTGAAAAAATTCGGGAGGCCAAAACATTCGTTTATAGGTCTTTTTTGGACTTCTAACAACATCATTCACAACCATAGACTGTGAGTATTGTAGGGTTCGCTGAGAGATTCGATTTGATATATTATAAACCGTATTTCAAGTAACAGAATAAAAATTACTGTCAACATTTTGAGCAGAGAGCTAGGTGAGCAATTTGGGCGAGCAAACAGTTGTCCAAGCGAGCAGAGCACTGTTCTAGGCGAGCATAATTTTTTTTTTTAAAAAAACTTTGGGAGGTCAAAACACCTCTTTTTGAACGTTTTTTGGACTTTTTTTTGAAAAGCTTATTACCAAAGGTAATGAGTTTTGCTCAGCTCGTCGAGAGCTTTGATTTGGTATATAATAAGTTCTATTTTTAGTTACGAACCAAAAATTACGGTCAAAATAACGAACAGGGAGCCAAGGGCGCGTTTTTGGGCTAGTAGGCCACCTCCTTGGCGAGCAAGCCACCTCCTGGTGAGCATACAACCTCCTGGGCAAATTTTTTTATTTTTTTTTTAAAAACTTTGGGAGGCCAAAACACCTCTTTCTGGACGTTTTTGGACTTTTTTTGGAAAGCTCATTAACAATGGTAATGAGATTTGCTCATCTCATCGAGAGCTTCGATTTGATATATAATATGTCCTGTTTTGACTTACGTAACAAAATTTACGGCCAAAATAGCGAGCAGACTCACTGGCGCTTGATTTTGGGCGAGCAGGCTCTAGGCAACCATGCAGCTGGGCACGTTGTTTTGGGCGAGCAAAAGGCCTTGGGCGCCTTTTAGGGTACTGACTTGAGAAACTTGGGCGAGCAAGAGGCCTTGGGCGAGTTAGAGAATTGTCTAAGCGCCACTCTAGGTCGTCTTGAGGAGCAGCCTACTCACGTAGGAGGGGTGGTCTGGCATGGAGATGGGAAGATAGGCGCCGAGAAGGGCCTGGGCCAACAGGCGGCATCGCTGTGCGTTGTTACAATTCGCACAGTAGGTGAGGGGGCTGCTCGAGTCTTCATGCATGCTGGCCTGCACGCTGGGTGTGTTGATCTAGTCCATCAGGCGCCTAGGGGCGCTGATCCTAATGAGCAGGGAGGTGGAAAGAAGGCTGGTCTTAGCGTGAAGGCACCAATAGGCGCCATTTTGGGCAAGCACAAATAGTTGGGCGTCTGCAGGACTACTTCGCTTGTACGAGCAGAGGGGGCCAGACACCTCTCTCTAGGCACTGGGCTGCCCATTTGGGCGAGCAAAGGGGGTCAAACGTCTCTCTAGGCACTAGGTTGAGTAGTGCAAGCTACAAGGAAATTTTGGGTGCCACTTTTGGTGATGATTCGAGGAGTTCAGGTAGCCAAAGAGCTTTGAATGCCCTGTAGGGAGTTCAGTTCTCACCCATGCAGGCGGGGTTGCCCAGGAATTTCTTAGCGAGCCTGGTTCTAGAGCCCGGGGGCAGAGTGCACCAGACACTTTCAGCGGTGATGGTCCAGCTCCACTCAGTGCACCTTCTCAAAATCAAATTCTTCTATGATATTTCGAGAATTGTTTTTGCTTATCACATCCCCCAATGGTTCTATGTCGCCGAGCTGAGATGGGTGAACTTACTTATGATAACAAAAATAATGTTATTCCAAACATTAAAATATTTAACATAATTACCTGAAGAGAGAGGCAGGCTGTTTGCGCGAGAGCAAGACAGAGTTTGTAGATTGCTCTTGAGAGAGCTACATCTTTTGAGACCAAGTTTTTGGCGACCCATCAGAAAGTTTTTAAGCTTAAGGTATAAGCTACTTGCTTGAGAGCAGAGCAGATGCCAAGCTTTTTTGGCGACACGTGAGAGAGCCGGGAGATAGACTGCTTGTTTGAGAACAGTACAGAGGTCAAACTTTTTTGGCGACCTGCAAAAGAGCCGCTAAGCTGGAGATAGGCTGCCTGTTTAAAAACAGTGCAGAGAAAGACAAGCTTTTTGGCGACCCTTGAGAGAGTCGTTAAGCTGGAGATAGACTACCTGTTTAAGAACAGTGTAGAGGTAGGTCAAGCTTTTTGATAACCCTCGAGAGAGCCGCTAAGCTGGAGATAGACTACCTATTTAAGAACAGTGTAGAGGTAGGCCAAGCTTTTTGGCGACTCTCAAGAGAGCCGCTAAGCTGGAGATAAACTACCTGTTTAAGAACAGTGTAGAAGCAGGTCAAGCTTTTGGCAATCCGTGAGATGATTCACCTCGCCTAGATTTGTTGATTTCCTCAGTATTCATAAATTTTTGAACTTTTGCCAATAGTTCTGGCATGCTCTTTGGTGGTCGTTTCATCACGGAGAAAAGGAAGCTCGATGACCTAAGGCCTCCCAAGAAAGCGGTCATGCTGACTTTTTCATCAGGCTCTTCGACTTGAAGGACCTCCTCATTAAAACGAGTGAGGTAGCTTCGCAGGCTCTCATCTCGGTCCTGCTTTATGCTGAACAGGTGGGTGGCAGGCTTCTGGTGACGGCGTCCTCCAATAAAGTGCAACACGAAAGACCTGCTCAGCTCAGCAGATAAGCCGATGGAAGCGAGGGTGATCTTGGCAAACCACTGTCGAGCATATCCCTTCAAGGTGGTTTGGAACGCTCTGCACATGATTTCGCCAGGGACGTTGTGCAGTTGCATCAAGGTCTTAAAAGTTTCAAGGTGGTCCAATGGATCCTTCGTACCATCAAAGGTTTCGACGGATGACATCTTGAATTTTTGAGGGAGTGGGTAGTTCACCACGTCAGGTTTGAAAGGTGTGTCGGTTCGACTTACAAGGTAATCCACTATCTCGGGTCCTCGTGCCTTCATAGCGTTGAAGATATTACCCAATTGATTTTGCATCTCCTTAATTTTTTTGTCCTAACGATTAGAAGGAGGTCCCTTGGAATTACCATGGATATGACTTCCATGCTCTAATCTTTGGTTTTCACCCTCGTCCTTTTGGAAAAGAGGGTCTCCACCATAAAAAGAGGGAGCTGAAAGAGGAGGTGGAGGTCCCTTGTGGGGAGCTCCCCTATGCGGGGCGTCTGAAGGGGCTCTAAAGGGGGCGCTCAGATGAGGAACACCCATGTGGGGAGCTCCTTGACGCCCAGAGGAGCTTACAATTTATAGTGGTTTGGCATTAGTAATTGTATGACTATTCTGACGGTCATTATGGCTTAAGACCGTTTGATAGT